TCATGGTGGCGCAGTGGCTTAGCAATGTTGTTGCGCTGGGGGCCGCGGGTTCGAATCCCGCATGGAACAAGATTTGTATGGCCTACAAATAATTGTTCCGGGTCTGGATGTTTGTCTTTGTGCAATTTATGTTTGTAAACTGCCTCCACGACACAGGAGAAAATCCTAGTGTGGGTGTAACGTTTTTTTACAACTGAAATTGAAAGATTGAACCCTTATACTTCTTGTTGATTTTTGTATTTATATATTTTTTATTGCACCAAATATTTGTACAAAAGCCGAGTTATCTATTTATTTACCTATAGTGAATAGGTATCTTTTAAACTCACAATTTTCAATGCTTCCGTTTATATAATTAATTATAAAATTTCATAATTAGATAATATATGAAAATACATAATTCTAATATAATGCAACTAATATATACAGAATAAAAAAATTAAAATACATTTATCTTTGTACGCTATGTGTATTTCCATAAAATAGTTTATTGATGTTGAAAAAATAATACTACTTTCGTACAATAGGTGGCGTCTTACATATTTCTTCCGGCGAGCCGCTCGCTACAATATAATATTAATATTGTAGCGAACGGCGCGCCGGTCAAATGCTCAAGGTCGTTCGCATGGAGTAGCCCCTTAAGTAAAAACTAAATGACGACTCCGTAGCGCAGAGGCTAAGCGTTTGACTGCAGCACTGCAGGGCCGAGGCTTCGTTCCCGCACTGAACTATTGTTGCTATGCTGTAAAATAAATAGTTTGCGTCTGGACGCTTGTTTTCAACGTTAGTTTTTTCAAAAGGGTATAAAATTGGGTTTATTAACACTAATTGGATTAAATTGCTTTTAACTGTAACAAATACTATGTACAAATCGCTAGGCTTTTTCACAGATGTACCTACGTACATACTACTCGCAGAGATCGTATACTTATTGTCGCTTTCAAAATGAGTGCTCATTATGGCTAATGTTTGTAGATGAATCTATAAAAAAACTATTTATAACCAGGTAGGTAATTACAAATAATTTTGAGTTTAGTTTGATAATCGAATTCTTACCAATATATGACTTTATATGTATATTATATTTTGCTACATGTAAATGAAACTTAATTAACATACAAATAATAGTGGAAGTTAAAATTAACTCCACTGATGAAATAACAGTTCGTTTTAGTTGGATTTCTAAATCCTCGGATTTGCAATGTTTGCCACAAATATGTTTTAACATATGAATCTTTTCAATTGGTGCATGTGCCAACTGTTTCGCCCATTGCTTGCACCTGAAAAATAATATAAATAAAATCACATTTTTATTGAACAAATAGAATGCTATCAGTCACAATTGATGATGTAGTTTCTAAGTATAGTTGGTTTCGGATTGCCATCCCATCGAACTATCAGATTTAGGAAATTGTGTGTTTGTATTTGTGTACACAATCGTACACAATTAAAACCAGTCCCATGTAGATGGCTAGTCCAAAAATGTAGTCGCGTTAAACATCATATTACAATTAAAGTTGAACATACCTTTCATCATCTAAGGGAAATATTGCTACTAATAGCCTTTTATTGTTATTATTTTTTCCGCTTCTTGCACCATTTAATTGGCAAGTTTTATAATGTGTAAATGAACAATAAATTCTAAAACCAAATTTAAAGCAATCTTAATAAATAAAATATAATTATACAAATATAATTGTTTGATTTGACATTTGAACCTATTTGATTTGACAATGTCATTAATAGACATATTACGAAAAGCGGAAAGAAGAGATAACCGTCATTAAAATTTGACCCCTGTAGTACATATAATTTTTACTATGGAAGTTGCGCCAGTTTGCAGTCTAGTACAAAACACGAGCGTTAAAGTGATGCAAGGTCATTATGTTAGTGCCCATGAACAACCGCAACACCAAGAAAATTGCAGGTGCCTTGCCATCCTATTAAAAAGGACACCTGCATCTCGGTCAGAAAGAGCAAGGCCGGCTTCGCCGTCTCGAGATGGTAGTGGACGGCGTTTAGGTTCGAATGAAGTCCCCTGATGTTGCAGAAATTCACGGATAGCGTAGCAGTGGTCGCCTTGGTCTTGTTGCTCAGTTTGCCCCGTGCAGTTATTGTGTTGAGCGGAATTTTGCCCCCCCCCCCCAGTATACGCGGGACAGCCTGAGCACCCACGCTTAGGAGTGGAATAGCATGATCGTGAATGCTCAGCGAAGGATTCTCCAGGGGTGCTGGGGTAGTATATGATGTAATTTCGCTACCATGTACATATTTTAATGGTACAAAAATGCAGATGTAATAAAAACTAAGAATATTGTTACGCGCCACTATTAATGTCTTGTACATGGCAACACTAGTCACACTAGCGCCCTCTAGTGTCGAGTAGCAGAACTAGGAGAGTCGAGATCCTTCCAGAAATTTCGGGACCGATATGTACTCGAACATTCTAGATGTCGCTACAGTAGAAGGTTCTGGAAACTATCTGCGGCCCTATATAAGGCCGGTATAGACCACGACCGGGGCAGTATTGAATTGGCGATACAAGAGAATACTTCGAAGCGAAATAACGGCGAACTGTGTTTTATTATTAGTGTGTTTTTAGATTGTAATTAGTATCCGTAATTAAAGTGTCAATTTTGGTAATTTAATCGGCAGTTTTTTAATTGTCTCGAACCCCAAGTTCGTAACAATGCTCTGATGATGATGCTGCAGGATCAGGCTCGCCGACAGGAGGAACAGGCCCGCCGACAGGAGGAACAGGCCCGCCGACAGGAGGAACAGACCCGTCGGCTGGAAGAGCAGCTGCAGCGCGGTATGGAAGAACAGATGCTCCTCAGGAAGGACCTTCACGCTACCTTCGGGAAAGAGATAAAGGAGGTGAAGGATAGGGTTGCTCAACATGACAACCGCCTGTCGGAAGCTGAAACCCGAATCGACCAAGTGAACAATCGGGTTGACAACGTGATGGCTGATGTGAAGAAAACGCTGGACGACCTCAAACTTGGGGATGGAGTTACAGCTCCCGTGGTAGCAACAACACCTTCGCTACGTGGATTCAAAGTGCCGCCGTTCGACGGGACTTCTTCCTGGTCGGCCTATAAAATCCAGTTCGAGGCTGTCATGAAAGCGAACGGCTGGAATAAAAGTCAGGCCATGACTGCTCTCACCCTAGGCCTGCGCGACCAGGCATTAACTGTTCTGGAAGCTCTCGGTAAGGAAGTGACTTACGAGCAGCTCCTTGAGGCATTGGAGGCGAGATATGGCGACGCTCACCTGGAACACGTCTTTCGTGCGCAGCTCAAAGATCGCGTGCAACGCAGTAACGAAAACCTGCAGCAGTGGGCCCTTGAGGTGGAGAAGCTGGTTCGAAAAGCGTACCAGTCTGTACCTGCGCTTATTGTAGGGAACCTGGTGCAGAAATTCATCGACGGCATCCGTGACCTTGAAGTCAGAGCTGCTGTGAGGCTCGGGCACCACGAGACGCTTAAGGACGCCTTGACCCATGCACTGGAGGTGGAAGCCGTGCGGCAGGATCATCGTTCCCACCGCGTCAGGGAGGTTGCAACAGCTAAAGTTCAGGACCGCAATAAAAGCTACAGCCGTAGGTGCTACGGCTGTGGGGAAAGGGGCCATCTTCGATCCAGCTGCCCTAAGCGAACTGTAGGAAGGGAAGGTGATCGATCTCGAGAGGGTAGTGCGGATAATAGCACCGCCCAGCAGCAGCAGGGAAACTGGCGGGTGCTGGCTGATGTTAAAAGAGCCCCAAGGGTTTCGATCTCACAAACTCATGATGGGAACAGCCTAATCATCAAGGGCGAAGTCAACGGAACGCCATGTAAACTGACCATAGACACTGGAGCCTCTCGCACGGTTGTCAGTTCCCAACTTATAAGTCGGTTCCTTGGTGACTCCGCATACAACCGAGAACGCATTAATTTGGTGACAGCCACTGGTCAGCACATACCCGTCCGTGGAGAGAAGGAGATGGAGTTGAAGCTAGGCAACATGATCTACCTGCATAATGTCATCGTAGCTGATATAATGGACGACTGCATCCTGGGCCTAGACTTTATGAGGAAGAATTGTTGTGAGATCGACGTTAAGCAAGGTGTTTTGAAATGTGGACAAGAAGAACTTTTCATGGAAGGGGCGTTACCAGGGAATGTGTACAGCCTTAAGAAGATTGTTCTTCCGCCGAAATCGGAAACGATTGTGCCGGTTGGTCTTCCTCGGAGTCCTGGGCAAGCTCATCGTTGTGTACTCGTGGAAAGGGTAGACAATGACCTTCCATGGAAAGTGGCTCGAACCTTGGTCAGAACCACCGACATCTCAGGAGTACGTGTGTTGAACCTTTGTGATCAGGAACAGATTATAGAAAAAGGCACATTGGTTGGTACTAGTGAGGAAGTGGATTGGTTGCGTCGGTGCGAATATCTATCGACCGGGACCCCTAGCAAGGATGGACAAACGAGAGTGACCACACTTTTAGAAGACTGTCGCAGCGTTCTCTCCCCGAATGAAATGGTCAAGGCGAAGAAGTTGTTACTCAAGTACGCCAATGTTTTCTCGTCAAACGAAGCTGACATAGGAAAGACTGGCTTAGTTCAACACAAAATAAACACAGGACAAGAATTGCCTATTCGTCAGCGGCCAAGAAGATTGCCTGTAGCACGTGAAAAGGAAGTGGAAACCATGATTGAGGGAATGGTGAAGGATGGTGTTATTGAACCTTCATCTAGTCCATGGTGTTCACCTTTGGTGCTGGTAAAGAAGAAGGACGGCAGCATGCGGTTTTGTGTTGACTACCGCCGCCTGAACGACGTTACGAAGAAGGACAGCTATCCCTTGCCTAGAATTGATGACACGCTGGACATGCTCACAGGCGTAAAGTGGTTTAGACGCTGGACCTGAAAAGTGGCTACTGGCAGGTTGAAATTGACCCTAAGGACAAGGAGAAAACTGCATTTTCCACAGGAAAGGGTCTGTGGCAATTTAAAGTTATGCCGTTTGGATTGTGCAATGCTCCAGCAACGTTTGAAAGATTGATGGAACTTGTACTTACCGGGCTAATTGGAGATGCCTGTCTGGTCTATTTGGATGACATCATCATCGTAGGCCGTACGTTTGAGGAACACCTTCAAAACCTGGAACGCGTGCTCATGAAGATCCAGAGTGCCAACCTCAAGTTGAGTCCAAAGAAGTGCTCACTATTCAAACGGCAAGTTAGTTTTTTGGGGTATGTAGTGTCGGAAGAAGGTATCCGCATGGATCCAGAGAAAATTGCTGCTGTCAAGGAGTGGCCGGTCCCAAAAGACAAGACACAGGTTAGAGCATTTTTGGGTTTGTGCTCTTATTATCGGCGATTTGTGAAGAACTTTGCAGATATAGCCAAACCTCTGCACAAGCTAACCGAGGAGAAGCGACAATTCTGCTGGGATGAAAGTTGCGATATTGCATTCCAGGAGCTCAAGAACCGCCTGTGCAAAACACCTATTTTGGGGTACCCTGATGCGGGCAAGGAATTCATAGTTGACACAGACGCAAGTGATATAGGACTTGGCGGTGTGTTGTCTCAACGGAATGGTGATCAAGAGATTGTGATAGCGTACTTCAGCAAGTCGTTGTCAAAGCCGGAAAGGAACTATTGTGTCACAAGACGGGAATTGCTTGCTGTGGTAAAGTCCTTGCAGCATTTTAGCAAATATCTTCTAGGGCGGAAATTCCACTTACGAACTGACCATGCTGCACTGAAATGGCTATTGCAGTTCAAAAATCCGGAAGGACAAGTTGCGAGATGGATAGAACTACTGCAGGAATACGACTTTGTGATCGAACATCGCAGCGGGAAATCTCATGCCAATGCAGATGCATTGTCAAGAAGACCTTGCCCTGAAGATTGCAAGCATTGTACTAGGCAAGAGGGTAAGGAAGTGGTATCTGTGAGAATGCTCAGGACAGACCAGCTCAGCAATGAGTGGAAGGACAGCCTACAGCATGCACAGCAGGAAGATTCGGACATTAAGCCGATTCTGGAATGGATGAAGGCCAGTGCTCCTAAGCCCAAGTGGAGCGACGTCTCAGCAATGAGTTCGACCACAAAAAGCTATTGGGCCCAATGGGACAGCTTGCTGATTCAGGATGGAGTCCTGTGCCGTAAATGGGAAAATGGTCGGGGAGACAGGTGTCATTTGCAAATGGTTGTCCCTAAGGCTAAAGTGCCGGATATTCTACAGCTGTACCATAGTGGTTGTTCAGGAGGCCACCTGGGAGTTAAACGAACTCTCCTGAAGATCCGAGAACGGTTTTACTGGGTCCACTGTCGTGACGATGTCCAGGACTGGTGCCGCAAATGTACAAGTTGTGCGGCTGTAAAGGGACCTCAAATTCGTAGTAGGGGCGCATTGAAATTGTACAATGTTGGTGCACCATGGGAGAGGATAGCCATTGACGTTGCGGGGCCGTTTCCAGAAACTGAAAGTGGTAACAAGTATTTCATGGTCGTGATGGATTACTTCACTAAGTGGCCAGAAGTCTTCGCCATTCCAAATCAAGAAGCTTCAACCGTTGCAGATAAACTAGTTCATGAAGTCTTCTGTCGTTTTGGAGTACCTTTAGAGATTCACAGCGATCAAGGAAGGAATTTTGAGTCTCAAATATTCCAGGAAACTTGCCGAGTTATGGGTACTCAGAAAACACGAACAACTTCTTACCACCCACAATCTGATGGAATGGTAGAAAGATTTAATCAGACATTGGAGAGGTACCTAGCAAAAGTTGTGGAAAAACGACAACGAGACTGGGATAGGCACATACAACCGTTTTTGTTGTCATATCGAAGCGCTGTTCACGAAAGTACATCAGTGACACCAGCTTACGTAAACTTTGGGAGAGAATTGCGGCTGCCTGCAGACCTGATCACCGGAATACCACCTGTGCCCCACGCAGTATAACCGATTATGCAAATGACTTGCGGAACAAAATGAATGACATTTATGAGCACGTCAGACAGACGGGCCAGCAAACGTCTGAGAAGATGAAAACACGGTATGACCGCAAAATGAACAACAAGGGGTTTGATGAAGGTTCTCTAGTGTGGTTACACAATCCAGTTCGCAGCAAAGGGAAATCTCCTAAGCTTCAAGCTAAATGGGACAGACCGTACCGGATTGTGACAAGGATCAATGACGTAACCTACCGGATACAGAAAGGTGCCAGAGGTACTCCTAAGATTGTCCATGTGGATCGACTGGCGCGTTATTATGGGGCCAATAATGCTCGGGACGAGCATGTCTTAGGAGGGGGCAGTGTTACGCGCCACTATTAATGTCTTGTACATGGCAACACTAGTTACACTAGCGCCCCCTAGTGTCGAGTAAATGAAAGTATTGCGCGCCACTATTAATGTCTTGTACATGGCAACACTAGTCACACTAGCGCCCTCTAGTGTCGAGTAGCAGAACTAGGAGAGTCGAGATCCTTCCAGAAATTTCGGGACCGATATGTACTCGAACATTCTAGATGTCGCTACAGTAGAAGGTTCTGGAAACTATCTGCGGCCCTATATAAGGCCGGTATAGACCACGACCGGGGCAGTATTGAATTGGCGATACAAGAGAATACTTCGAAGCGAAATAACGGCGAACTGTGTTTTATTATTAGTGTGTTTTTAGATTGTAATTAGTATCCGTAATTAAAGTGTCAATTTTGGTAATTTAATCGGCAGTTTTTTAATTGTCTCGAACCCCAAGTTCGTAACAATATTATTAAACACAATTAATTTGCTTGAATACAATAAGCACATCGTGTAATATTTAATTTTAACTGACTTCAAAAAAAGAGGTTTTCAATTCGGTGTATTCTTTAAATGTTTCTTACCTCAGAATTCTACAATTTCTAAACCGATTTAGATTTATTTATTTGAAAGGATATACACACAGATTGATCTAATATACACGCTGAAATTACAATGGTTGTTGAAGTCAAATGATTTTGTGTTGGTATTACTATAGATTTATTAAAATAAAAATTATTAGAATGCAAAAATGGCAGATTTACAATCGAGAAAAACAAAACTCGAATGCGATCTCAAACCAATAGCAATATCTCGCAAGTAGATCGGGCGTGCAGGCTAGCTTATACCGTATTACTATAATAAAGTCTGAATAAAAAAATATTCGCTGGATGTTACGTAGTGTTACGTCTATCGCACGCGCTACCACGTGTTGCCTACACAGTAAAGGGCCACTAATAAATGTTCAGGGCATGAACTCTCAAGCATAGTGATACGACATAAACTAATCTGAACGCCAGACTAGCTTGTGAGGTATTACTATTGTAAATCTGCCCTTTTTAATTGTATTATTTTTTATTTTAATAAATTGACTCTACTATCGAGACAGTATAATTTGGCTGCGGGACAAAACCACTAAAATTTCAGCATGTATATACGAATTGATTTAGAATCGTCTTAGAAATCAGTGTACATACATATTGATAACCTGTCCTTTTTGGGAGTTGGTTAAAATAGACTATTTTGGGTCTAAAATAACATCTGGTTAATGTTTGAGTGTAAAGTGACATCTGGTTAGTAAAGGCGTTTTTATTAACAATCGCTTGATGTTGTAAATAAAAATAAATTTATTCTATACTCTAAAACGTCGACTTAGTCAATAAATAAAGCAATTAAAATAAAATAGTTGTGTTAAAATGGCGTTAACGAATCGCGATTAGTTGATCACTCCGTATTAGTTTTAAGTAGGCACCCATTGTTAATATTATGTTAATACTTAGAGAAGTAGGTATCTATATATAAACATTTGAGTTTTACTCAGAGCGTTGCGACTAAACGTTTTAAACACAAATACAAAATAAATATTTTTAAAAGGAAAGTGATTTTTTTCCCCACCGCTAGCAACATTTGTATCATGATAGCTTAGGTAAGTATTTTTTTAGTTTTGCGCACTTATAATAAATTAAATATATGAACTTATATGTGAAATGTAATATCATTACTTCTTTTATGTTTATCATCACTGTTATGACAGTATCTTACAACACAAACGGTCATTTTTACAATTTTTCACGAGTTCTTCTCCGTAAGACGAGACGTTGCGCACTAACGAGTCGCTGAGTGAACTTACGCGGTTTCGCGTTAGTTTTACTTGCTTCACTTTCTGTGCGCGTACTAGTATTCTATACGTTATAATTCTATACGTTATAATTCTATAGATTCTTCATTGTTTGATATTAACAAATATTATTATTAGGTGAAAATTTAATTTATAAAAACCAAGGTTTTCCAGGGTGATTTAGCTATACCTAGTTATATAAATGATTTTTTTATAAAACAAATAATAGTACAAAAGGTTTATAATCTCTGCATAAAAAAACTCACTTACTCTCAATTTCAAAGAAAACACGTAGAAAAACACGTAGTTACCCACTAAAAACAAGTATCCTTCTGTTTTTAACTGATGTTTAATATCAACTAAACTTAATTAGGTTTAAACAAGTGAAAAAAGCATAAAAAAGAACATTACTTTTACACATGGCTGATGGAACAATTGGCGTGTCATCAACTTCTGTGACGCTTGCAACTTCTGTGGCGTGTAATGAAATATTTGTTCGCCGCAACAGCTAAAAGTTGTCAAAAATCAGTGCCGCAACGAATCGGTTAATAATAAGCTTAATTAAAATACAATATGGAATATACCAACTATGATTAGCGATAAAAAATGTAAGATTATCGTTCTAGCATACGTCTAAAATATTACTTTAAGTCGTTAACTATAACATTGGTAATGTTTTTATTTTGTGTAAACATTTATCAATGTTAGAAGGAGATAAAATACCAAACTCGGTGCCTCTCTTTCTGAGAAAAATGAGGAACGGTTACAATGTTCCAAGCGCTCCCTCCCTGTATTATATTATAACCTCCTTGTTGATATGTATAAAAAATAGATCCTATTACGTGCCTCTATATTCATCAAAAATACAGTGGGGAAATTATAATAAACCGCATAATAATACTCAATACTTGGCCTAAATACCAGGCCATAAGCTCCAAAAAAAAAGAATGTTTACTGTAGGGATGGGCAAAGGGAAAAATATATCGAATCTATATTTTTAAACAGTATCAATATACTTCGCGTGATAAATATCGATATATCGTCATCATTTGCATGGAGGAAAGATAAGGTCTAAAATTTTATTTACTGGCGGTTGGACGACGAAAAAAACGATACAACATTTTAAAATATATCGAAATTGATACGAATTCGATACTCTAAAATAAATAGCAATATGTCGATATATCGCGATTTATAATATCGATGATATATATCGATATATTCATTAAAAATATCGATATTTTTTGCCCAAGCCTAGTTTACTGATTCACATGGTAATCTACTAGTCAGCAGTGTTGCCAACGTAGGCGATTTTTCGCCAATTAGGCTACTCGGGATGGAAATCGGCTACGAAAAATTCTGAAAGGCGACTGGTCGCCAAATAGGCTACTAGAGAGACGAACGATCGACCGTCAATTAGACTGAATCACAACAGAAGTTAATATTAGCGTAAAATAATACCCCCAACGTAAAACGTTCAAATATTTAAAAAAAAACTGGCAGCACTGTTAATTTCGGAGAATACTCCAAAACTAAGGATCACTGTCACTCTCACTCATCTGGAGAAGTGCACGAGAGAGACGGGTAGATCCAAATACACGGACAAAACTTAGCCTATTGTACGTATTAAGTAACCAAATTTAGAATGCAATAAGATTGTACGTATTCGCTTCGCTGTTAATAACATTTGTTATTAAAAGTATTAATACCGGCTACGTATTTTATTTGTCTGCTATGTGCGAAATTTCTCCAAGAGTCCTGTGCGTGCACGTTCTCGTGCGCTTAGTGAAGGAATTAGTTGACAGGCTAACACTTAATGTGTCAGTGGTGGAAAAAATTGAACATTTATCACCAAGCCATTTGTGCCTCTCAAACAGCATACCCAACGTTGATGATTTTCTCTGGCAATTAGTGAAACCTAATATTGACCGGGAAACTATAATGAAACAATGACGTTCTTTAAGTACGTTGCGCATCGAAGTAATAGGTACAGATTTTCCCAATGATATCGTAAGTTTTTGGGTATAGGTATTGAAAATACAGAATGCTAGAGGAAATCCCATGTTTAAAGAATTTGCTTAGTTTTCATTGCGATGTCTCTCATTACGTTTAAGTAATGCTATTGTAGTAAGATTTTTTAGCGCGATGGGCACGATAAAGACAAAATTATGGGACAGAATGTAACTACCCATGCTGATTACAATTCTCAGAATCCGTACACATATGAATGTCCGAAATATTTGCTGCAACAATTTTCAACTGAGCAATCATATGATCAGTTTACATGGTGGGAGAAAAATGTATGTTTCCAGTTCCAGCAAAGCTTGCGCCAGCACCAGCACAGCAGAGGCTATAGAAAATTTTGACGGTGAAAGTCTTGCTGATGCTTTGTTGTTGCTGGCAGCAAATGATGATTGTTGATGTTTTTAAATTTGATACTCTATATACATCTTATGAATAAACAAATTGTTAAAAATTACGTTTTTATTTATTCATAGCGAAGTTTTGATATTTGGGCTACTTTAGGCTACCTCAGCTCAAATTAGGCTACATTAGGCTACTAAATGTGTGAAAAATGGCGATATTAGGTTCCAAGTTGTTGGCAACACTGCTAGTTAGTCTGTGATGGTAATATGGCCTAAAGGTCTAGATGCCAGGCCATAAACTCCAAAAAAAAATGTGATGGTAATGGATAATGGTGAACAATTTTTAGAATAAAATAAAATTGTTATTTTTGTTACGCATCTACGCAATTCAAAAAATATGTCCCTGTATGCAAATGTTCGCTCATTAATTCATAGAATAGTTTTATCCGATATTAAAACTGTGAGTCGATTTTATTCCAACCAAAACGATGAAAATGTGGAAGAAAAGACAATTGACCCCTCTAAAGATAGAACTAAAATAATCCCTGTAGAAACTAGCATTAAATATCTTCAAAGCAAAGCTTATCAAGAGACCTATGGTGTCAAACCAGTGTGGACATTATATCGACGTAATCACAAAGGTGGCTTTGCTCCACGTAAAACTAGAAAATCTTGTATTCGAAGTGGTGTAATATCAACCGGAAATCCATGCCCAATCTGTCGAGATGAGTATCTAGTTTTGGATCATAGAAATACAAAGTTGCTTCAACAATTTATTTCGGAATACACTGGACAGGTGAGTTCTACCTAATTACCAAGGTGTTTTATCTATTCGTAATAAAGGCATACTAAGTCAAAGCTGTAAGAAAACTTGCATTGCGATGATCAATCAGACAATCTCAGCCAAGCATGACGATTTAGCCAAATTCTACGTAACAAGTGAGACCTATGTTCCTTGTGGCCTTTTACAATGTCGATAAATATGTAATTGTATAATAAAATCATACATATCCATAAAAAACAATAAGATTGATTTCCAAATAAATTAATGTAAAATTGAGAGGATGTCAAAGGGGAGCAGGAGCAGAAAGTCATCCCATTTACATTAATATCACCCTGCATGTGTCGTAAGATGTGAGTAAGTAAATAGCATTGAAACAGGTAGCATAACAAGAAACTTTTATTTATAATAAGCCTTTAGTTGGACAAAAACAGTATTTCTTTGTTATTCATGTATTTTTCTTTTGTTCCATTTATGTGTGTCCATTTGCCAAATGGTAAAGGCCTCCTCTAATCTTCTCCATTCTGGCCTTTGTATAGCCACTCTACCCCATGTAATTCCTGCGACTTGTCTAATGTCGTCATCCCACCTTCTCTGTGGTCTTACCTCTGCTTCTTTTTCCATCCCTTGCATACCATTGTGTTATTTTACTCCATTTGTCATTTGTATTTGTCCTCTGATATGTGGCCTGTCCATTTCCACTTTTGTCTTCTTATTTTCAGGTCCTGGACCTTAGTTTTGTTTCGGATGCTGCTTTTTCTTATTTTGTCCATTTTTTTATCTCTACTATACTCCTTTTCATGGCATGTTGGCATATGGAGAGTTTGTTTGATATGTTTCTTGTTAAAGCCCATGCCCATCATGAACTGTTCTTGCCAACCTGCCTGCCAAGCATAGCAACTATGGCAAGTATCCCCCTATGAGGAAAGCTATGAGAAGGCCTATGATCAGCAGTAGACTTTGATTGACTGTAGTGAATGAATGACTTTATTAACTAACTATCAATAACAGTGTTTCTGCTATTAGTATAACACTGTTTTACCTATTCCTACCAATAAAGCAGCAATGCACCTACAGCCGTATTCAACTAAAGTATAGAGAGTAAATATTTGAAATAGATTGAGAGAAATGCTATCTTAATCCTGAGTAATGACTGCATCTACTGCTGTAGCTACTTATTTACTATCAGATGAACAGTTGGCTCAAAGTAACTAGCTTTTAAATAATTAAGAATTAAAGTATTCTGTCCTTAAGGGTGACTACGCTATATTCTGAGTCTTTATTGGGAATGGATTAAAGTAGAGATAAGATGGATAATTATTTGTCCAGATACTGGATATTTGGCCAGTTTTATCGCTGGATATTCAGATATCCGGCCACCGGATATTCTGCCGAACATTGCCATTTGGTGCATCACAAGAAGCAAACTTGTGTAGGTGGCGTTAGTGGTGGGGATCGTGTGCACGCGAGACTGGTGACTTTGGGATTTCGGTTAGCAATTGTTTCATTGATTTGTTGTATTGTTTGCAAACACGATCGTTTGAGGTTAAGTTAGAAAGTTATTTCAACTCCTTAAGTCAAGACAAAAAATCAAGATTCAAAATAAACTACTTGGAAGTGGTTGAAGCAGAAAGAGTTTGCCAGGAAATTCTATTGGAATTCTTAAAAATGTATTGCGAGTCCGAGTCCTCCAGCAGCAGTTCATCTTCAACACCGGCTAAAAATTGCAGAGGAGAGAAAACACAGTCAGCTATATCTGGCGAAACTCATTACATGTTCTGAGATTGCTTAAATGAAGTAGCAAATAAAAACAATACTAGCCAGTCTCACCATGAAGAAAAAAACGCTATTGCATGTGAGATTGATTTTTATCTAAAGTCAGTGCGAATTGTATGTGATCGTGAAAATTTTGTAATTACTGATTATATTTGTTAAGTGACATAAATAAAATACTTAACTAAATTTGATATTTTGTTTTTTTATCCAATATACGGCTGGATAGGCATTTGTTATCTGGTATGCGGCTGGATAGTAATTAATGGCCGATATACCAAATACCGGATAGTTATCGGATATTCATTTCGTCTCTATATTAAAGTTACAGGCAATATATAATATTAAGTAATAAAATTAACACACTGTTAAGCACCAAGATATCATCATAAGTGAAGGAGTGAAATATTTCGCGCCTAATATCTTGGTAAAAACAAGTGACACATGAATTTAATGCACTTAATATTATGTATATCCACAGATTACGTCTATATTTTAATTTCAATTCATTTACTTTTTGCCGCTCTGGTCAGTACCTAAAACTTTTAGTATGGTTCTAGTCTGGTGTACTATGTATACAGTCCGCTTCATTCTATTACAATAATGAGTAATATACCATCACTGCAACCAAGTTCCAAAAAGATCTGAATAGGTCTACAGTATATATGAAACAGAAACCGTGTACAGTATATACATTAGAAATTAGAATATATACCCACTTTATTTTACCTATCTTAATAATAAATTTATTTTCTTTTATTTTAATGAGCTATACAAAACAATTAAGTATCTTAAAATACTGTATAATACAAAAAAGATTTCAATAACGGTTTTAAATTTTTTTACAGATACTGGATGCCTTTAAAACTGGTTTATGCCAAAAGAAACACAAAGAACTGTTGGTAGCAATTGAAAGAGCCTGGGACCAAGGAAACCTTACATATGATGTACCCTTCAGAGAATATGATTATACTTTGTATAGTAAACATCAAATTAAAACCACATTTTAATTTATGTGGAAAAATATGTTTTATTTCTTGGTTTATATAGGTATTTATGGCACTTAAATACATAGATTATAAAATTACATACAATTTTGTTTTTTATGAAACCTGATACCTAGTTATATATATTTTATACAACATTCTGAGTTAATTATAATTTTCCATTAGTTTTGTTCTGTTTCTTTGAACTAGTAATTCTCTAATAAGAGCCGACTTTTCTTTCTCCAAAATTGATATCCTTTCATTTTTTCGATTGACCTCCTGGAAAATAATAAATAAGTATTAAAAATAAATGATTTATTATTTTACTCTATTCTTAGTGTGGCAAATTTAGAAAAATAGAACTCAATCAGATATGACTTTTCTGAGTGTTTCAGGTTGTTGATTAAAATGCGGCAAATTTATGAAAAGAGGTTAGGTACCCAAGAGATCAGTTTGGCGGTAAGAATAAAACAACCGCTGTGTAGTGGCGGCGTATATCGTTCCAAGGGTGTCAGAAGATGCGGACGAAGAAAACGTATCGGGGAATGGGCGGCAGTATCTTTCTGATAACACTTCAAATGATAATAATTTCAAATTAAAAATTTTGTACAGCCGACTTCGATATAAGTTATTAAGTATAACTCAAAAACTATTGGTCTGACCTTGATCGAATTCATATGGGAGCACACGAGAAGTACCAGCTTTAAAACAAAAAAAGAATCATCCAAATCGGTTCATTCAGTAAAAAGTTATGAGGTAACACCCATAAAAAAAAACACAGTCGAATTGAGTACCGTCTCCTTTTTGGAAGTCGGCAGAAAATAACTACGCTTGCCAACTCGTCTGTTAAGCGTGGCTACTATGGCCAATATCCCTCCTTATGAGACAATCTATGGGGGCAACCTGTGCTCAGCTGTGGACTTTTTATAGGCTGTTAAGAATAAACAAAGAACATAGAAGTTTGTGACCATTTCAAGTTATTTGTGTAAGATCTCATGACCGCAGTCGTGCTTGCGACCACTAGAACAATAGGGAAGTTGATCGGTATTCAGTTATTTCTATAAGCGGGAGCTCGGATGCTGTTACCATAGTGCTAGTGATATTTCTATGATTTAATAACTAAACCTGAATTAATTTAAATATAATATGATGCTTGATTAAAGTAAAATGACTTCCTCGTCCTCCAAAGCCTGTACACAGTTCGATGCATCTGTTTACCTCTCCCATACAGAAGTTTGATGTACTAATAGCCACTTTTTGCAGGCATATTTACTACTGCTTGCCGCCGGTGAAGCGCTAGTGCAAGGATAATGATTATGAAATGGTTATAATACTATCTATTATGAATTTTATGTGGTAGAGCCATGCTGCAGCTATATTATTAGTATAGTTGTAGCACGGATGGGTCGGCTCGACCGGGGAAGGACCACGCTCTCACAGAATACCAGCGTAAAATAGCAGCTTAATGCTGCTGTGTTTCGTATGGTGAGTGTAGGGAACCGGAGACCCTTTTTACTGGAAAAAGAGACATTCTATGTTAGTCCTCACGGCTGACAACACATCTGCATTTAATTCGCAAACGTAGATAGATGTAGGTGTCTATGGGCCACAGCAACTACTTACCATCAGGTGGACTGTGTGCTCGTTTGTGACCCTTATTCTATAAAAAAAAGTTCTTTCGGTAATTTCCCCAAGTCGTCTTTTGTATTTCTCTTGACCGCCACCACAGGACAATCTATTATTTGTTATCTATAACTATGCAAAATGTGTACATACCTCGGCGAGCATACGATTTTGTGATCTGAGCACTGCGGCATTGTTCGGCGTATTGGGAGGTGAATTGTGCAGCGCTGTGGGAAGAGCCAGGTTCATGTGCAGCGAGAGTGGACCATGTCGCCATCCAGCTGCTAATGCACCAAGTTGCCTATTGAGTTCCAATACACGTGCTTTCAGTAATTCTAATCTTTCTTGGTGTGCCTCGTTCCACGGTTCCTGCGAAATTAGTAGAGTTGCTCTTATTATTATAAGTTTGGAATATATTTGTTTGTTCCGCTGTTATTCTAATGTAATAATAACAATAATGTCATCCAGATCGAATTTCGGTCACGGCGTCCAGTATCAACGGAGACTAGTCATCTACGCAGGTCAGAACTATAGTGCCCGAGTGTACGCGCAAGCACAAGTGCACTCTCTATTTCATCACTTCCATAGTCCGATGGGACGGTTATCTGATACGGCCGTAGAGAGATTAGGCACAAGACCAACGGCTTTACGTGCTTTACGAAGCACGAGGGTGAAACACCATCGACTGCCTAATTCCAGGCTGCTGCTGAGAATTTCGTGACAGAAATACCCAATATCTTATTTTGACGCGACCCGGGATGCGAACCCGGGACCTCATAAACAGTAACCGCGTTTATAACCACCAGACCAACGAGGCAGTCAATAACTAATATATCTATTACATAGTTAAACTGACGGTCTCGCACCTACGCTTATCATCATCATCGTGTGAATATTTGCACAAATAAGAACAGTAAAGTATGTGTGCCCTTCCTATAATATTCCTAGAAAATGAAAAGCTTGTGGCTTAATTGCAGGCGGTTGGCTGACTTCACAGTTATATTAATTTATCTATGCGGCCGATTCACAACCGGGTACATGGATGACTTCGAACCGAATGTCGTTAATAAAGGAAAAATTCAAATGTTTTCATTCGATGGATAGAATTCGGGCTAACGGGTCCTTGCAACGGCGTAGCATAGGTTGCTGTCGCATGTGGCCGCAAGAGCCAACGCCCCCCCCCCCCCTCATTTCCACAAATATCCTTAAATATATAAAATCGGTAAAATTCTTGCGTAATATTTAAAAATGAATGAATAAAACAAAGTATTGTATTTTCTTCTCTATTTTCAGAACTTCCAATGCTACATTTTTTTTGTGATTTTTTTACTGGCATCATAAAAGTTAAGTAAGGAGATGACTTTATGTCAACTAAAATCCCCCTAGCGCCCCCTTTGCTACGTCACTGGGTCCGTAAGAGTCCTGAAGCTTTGCTGCTTTGTAGTCTGAGCGTTAAAGACTACAAAGCAGCAAGGGGTTAAAAAAAGAAGTTCTATGCTACAAAGCGGGACTCCCAGGAAATTATCGGGGGTGTATCAAAGCGGCAAAAAGAAATTGCGAAGGCAATATCTGTCTCGGTCGCATTGTTTACATCGGCCCTTCCCGGCTTCAGGCTTTTAAATCCACACTTTTTGTTATCCCAACCCACAGCTACTGTTACCCCCTCCGGCTATCGCCAAGCCCACCTCCGTTACAGAGACCCTCGGGCAAAGCGTAAGATCTGGACCTTCAGCGGCAAAACCATCACGGGGCCACTAACCTACAGAATATACTCGGCAATGGTGGCAAACATTATAACGAAGTTATGCATTATCGATGTTTCTAGAGACTTGAAATCCAGAATTACAAAATCGCTAATTACATCTTAGAAATGTTAGGCTGACTGGTCCTAAAGACGGCACCTTGATCTACTACCTAAAAGTCCTTGCATTGTGTACTTTTAAACGCTCTGACATTATAGCTAGGTAGGTACCTAATGTAGAAGCATCCGTTTGTAGATAGCACTTACAGGATATCAGACTATTAAAATTTGATCGGTGTACCTACTACCTAATCGCTGGTGATTTAAATAGTAAGCACGTGACCTGGAAATCTAATAACATAAACGGTAGTATAATGTTTGATCTCACGGAATGACTACTTAAGCTTCGATGTTATCGCGCCCGAAAATCCAACGCTATTCATTTTTTATAGATCAGCAACTGGACATCCTTGACGCAGCATACTCATCGGGGACTAGCCATCAGCTGTGCAGTACATTGAGGTATTATATATGCAACTTTTGTTAGAGAGTAATAGTGCTCTGTGTTACGTACTAAGTACCAAGGAACTACATAATACTTCAATGGCGCAAAACAATTATAGTATACGCAAGCATAGGTGGCTTCTCGTAGCGCGACGGGACGGCAATCCGACACGAATTGAGAGATATCAGAAGCAGGACCCAACGGCTTTACGTGCTTTCCTTTGCACGGGAGTGAAACACAGCCAACATCCTAACTATGAAGATTAAATAACTAGCTTTTCGCCGCGTATTACCCGCGTCCATATTATACCGTCCAGACAATCATGACCCACACTTATTATGATATCACATTTACGGAGTACTTTTAGTGCCTAAGTTTCGAATCAATCGCCCCGTAAAATAAAAAAGTTTCATACAAACTGTAACACCATGTTTTACCTACTCCGTTAGGGATTGAAATTTCCAAAATACTTTCTTAGTGGACGTCTACGTTATAAAAGGGAGCTACAGTTTAAATTTCAGATTTATATAGCGGTTTTTTAAAGTGTTAGCAACCATACAAATTTTCAGTCTAAATTGAAGGAGGTAATATCGGAATGGCGAAGTTCACACAACTGTTGGTATAGAAGGTAACGTAAAATAGCAGCTTAATGCTGCCGTGTTTCGTATGATTAGTGGACCCTTTTATTGGTAGACCATTTTTACTGGAAACGAGGCATTCCATCGTAGTTCTCGGGGGTGACAGCGCATCTGCATTTTGATTCTTAATCGAGGATAAATATAGATTTCTATGGGCCACAGCATCCTCTTACCATCAGGTGGACTGTGTGCTCGTTTGTCACCCCATTCATAAAAATACACCATCCCATATAATAAAAGAAGGGAAACCTCTCAGTAGACTAAGTAGGTATAACGTCTTACGTTGGCCTTTTTGTTCGTTATTTTTTATAAATGTCAGAATTATAAAAATAACGAACAAAAGACCAACTAAATACAAGGCTATTAAATAAAAATATAGTGGCGATCGCAGTAGGTACCAGATGTCCCTCAAATTATATGCTGCTCCCCGTCGCCGGTCTGGGTTTTTACTGTCGGCTTTTACATGATGGTATAGTACCAACTATCGGGAGGCTACGTGATCAATATGGCCTTTCTC